CAACACATCCATCCATCCATCAGCCTTTTAACGTCCACTGTAGGACATAGGCCTCCCCCATAGAACACAACAATACAACACAACTTAATGTAATTACTTTACTACACCAATCGGCTAGCATCCCGTGATTTTGATTCCAAATCAAATCGTTCATTATCCGAAGAGGTACAAAGACTTATTAAACTTCTAGATTTTAATATTAAATATTTAAAAAAAACAAAATTGAGGAGTTAGCGGCCCTACCACAGCAACCAGCATTAATGGATTTGTAGCGGTTGACGGTATTTCTAAATAGTCTGTTGTTTCGAGTATTGCAAGCAATTAATAACACAAATGAGCGCCATTTGGTTACAAATTTTTGTTGTATAGAATTCAAGGCCAAAGGCATTAAATACGGGTAGAAAATAGTAAAGAATCGGTGGTGAATCAGTAAAAAAATATTTTCATTAGGAGAGAGGTCAAATGCCCGCCACATTCTTGTACTTTGACAAAAAAGTTAAACGTTCGTTTAAGAAGCAAATGTCATACAAAATTTTTAGAAACACGGTTTAAAACACAAGCTTTTTATAGTAGAACTATTTTTGTTTATTTCCAAATGAGTGACAATGGATAAGGATACAATAGGATAAGATAATTTATGAGAATCCTGATTAAAATATTCTTGGGAAAAACGTTTGCAGGTTGGTGCAAAGTTGTTAACGAATTTTTAATTTTAGATTTTTATCGTGTTTTTACTGCTCCAATTGCTCTTCAAGATGAAACGGAAAAAAAAAATATTATTGAGTCTCGTCTGCTGCCCGGTCCGCGTGGAATTTTGTATAGTAAAATTTTCTTTAGATTTAAACAACTCTAGCGTGTTAAATGCATAAAATAATATAACTTAAACTTATTATCAGTTAAAATTTATAAAAATCATGAGTACGTATTATATAAACAGATAACGGTAATTAATTGATTTGTCACTGTTTTCATGGTCAAATATTCTCTCCCTTTGATCTTCGTTGGATTAAAGCGCTTTTCGTATGTTATGCTTTCAAAAATATCAGGTAAATATTTGTTTAATGTATTTATTAATAACACGTTTGAAGCATATCAGCCCTGGATCACCCACACCTATTATCGCAGCGCAGCCCTATAAATTTCTATCGGCACTTACCGTTATTTTGAGAGCTGACAGATTATATTGTCCAGCGGTGTCTTGCAGGGTTCAATTTGACCTATCGCATGCTGCCTGCAGATTATTAGAAAGTACGTTGAAACGCTAAGAAAATGTATTGGGAGATTATAGTAAGTAACATGTCTTGAAATGGTTGTCAGTATTTCGAATTCTTTGATTCCCTTCGAAATTTTATCTTTTATATTGTGTATCAAATGCCATATGTCTTGCATCAATAGAGACTGGTTTGACCAGTTTCTATGATAATACATTTTTGTGTTTATTGTTTTGAGGACAGCGTTAGTTTTGTATAATCATTTTTGACACTAACATAACTGACTAATAATATTATACTCTTTATTGCACACAAAAAAAGCGGCACGAACAGAAAAGGAATGGAAAAAACAGTTGGTATTACTTTTTGGTAGTTCAAGTGTCTTCGTGTTGGAAGTCCTTTTATGACGAGAAGGTGAAGGAAGCGTTTTGAAACGGGAAACAAGGTAATGAGGAGAACTAGGATCTTTGAGGATTTGAAACAAGAATGATAGGATATGCATATCACGTCGAAGACGAATGGGAAGCCATTTCGATTGAGAGCGAAAATCAGAAACTCGGTCATATTTACGCAATCCGAATATGAAACGAATTGCAAAGTTTTGGAGACGCTCTAGCTTATTCAATTGATCTTCAGTCACATCCAAGTAGCAAATATCGGCGTAGTCGATCACTCCTGGCTGGTTCAATCACTCCTTCGGGGAGAATGAGGAGAAGGAGTGATTGCGCCAGCATAATTTTGGTTTTCAAGGGAAGAAAAAATTGTATGTATTTATAAGATTCCAAGTCATAAATCTTCTTTTAAATTGTGCAATTTAAATTAAAACCTGATGATAATTAGGAACTGTCGTAATGATGTCACGCTATTTTTATGTATGTTAGTAAAGTAGCTACCAGTCTGAAATACACTCAGCGTCAAAAAAATCGCATCTGCGCGAAAATAACTTTCAAGCCAATATTGGTGATATTTGAAAGCCCATTAAAAAACATAAAAAATACATTTCAATTAATTTTTATTTTTTAGTGGAACAGTGCAAAAACAGTAAAACTTATAAAATAATAAAAATCCTTAATTAAGCCTTAATTTTAATTATTGCTTGCCCAGATGACGGCTTCCATACGCTCCCTTATGGATCTTGCCAATTTTCTTCTTGAGGGATACTGGCCCATCCTCAATAACGGCCTTTTCGAGGTTCTGGAAAATCGTGGGAGCGAGATCGAGGCCGAACCATGCGTTTTAAATAGTTCTATAGGTGCTCTATCGGGTTCAGGTCTGGACTTCTCGCTGGCTAATGCATGACAGAGATGCCAACCTCTTGAAGGTTAACGCGCACAATTCATGGAGTGTGAGCGCGAGCGTTAACGTGCATTACATAAAGTACATACATAAAAATTATTTTCGCGTAGGTGCGATTTTTTTGACGCCGAGTGTAATTACAGTCAATCTTGCGTTTAAGCAAATAGCAACCGCTTAATTGCTTATTAGTCGGACGCCAATCACGTAACACAATTTTAATATGAATAATACTTATTCCTTTCATTGATAGTTTCTTCCAAAAAAAGAAGCTAGTACTTGTTTTTGTTGTTTTTTTTTTAATTTGGGATAATGAAAATTTATAATAGCGATAGGTGCTGGTGCAATTTCAGCATGGTAAACTTATAACTTGACTTGCCACAATATGTTTCCGTTTTTTATGTTAATCCGTCCGTGAATCACGAGTAACAAACACGGACCTTCAATATCAAATCATGTACGATATTGTTATCAGATGAACAGTGGGAAAATTTTGAAGAGAAACTTCAAACAATAGCCTATTTATATAGAATAAAGCATAATAAACTTGTATATATGTCAAAATTTAACATAATACAGTGTCAGTTTTTTTTTATCTGTGAACGTTTACAATGGTTAAACAATGAGTGAAAGTTTAAGGACTGGGCCATCCCTCATAAAGGACAACAATAGTGATGTCGATTTCATTGATAAAATGGTTATATAAAACAAACGTATGGACCGGAGTAATCAATCATAATGTATCAGTGATGCAGATACAACAATATATGAACTTACTTAGATGGTAGATAACATGTAACATAAATGTCGTGATCGCACCGTTTCTAAACAGCCTACGTCTAGTTCCGGGATTTAAAGACATCAAACTGCACACTTTTTGAATCGGAAAACTGAAGAAAGATGCTAATGTTAATAAGTAATTGGTCAGCTTCTATATTCCCCGGTCTGAAAGTTAAAACTTACCACTTTAAGTCACGATTTGCTATTTAGGATTTAATGACGCGAAGAATATTCGAAAAGTGGGGTGAAACAGGAATCGCGCTCTGAATAATATTTTTGAAGTTATACTTCTTTAGGCGCGTTATGAAAAAATGATGAGAGTGAAATTTTAAGATGCGCGCGCATCACTGTAACACAAAATTTTGTGTTTACCGCACATTAAGAAAATCTACCAACAAAATAGAAATAGAATCTCTATTTAGTGGGTGCTAACGACTGCATTGTGAAGGCCTATCAAAAGTATTTATTAATCTGGAACAACGGAACCAAAGCGCGATTCAGGAGACTACAGCGCCATCTCTTGACCATTGGTGTAGTAGAACCAAAAACCACATCTTTATTTTTTGTAATAAAGTAACAGCGATAGGTATTCATATTTATAATATTTATCCACATGTTTCTAGTTTGTATATTCGGAATACGTGTTTGAGTTTCATACAAGTGCAAATCACATATGTTCTAATAAATTATATTCAGTAGCGATTTTAATTGAATATTTTGATTATTTATTTATTTTTTCAAATTAAAACTGAACTTTATTGACCTTTTCCAGACTTTTTATAAATTTATTGTAATTAATTATTTGCATGCAATTAAAAACTAATTTTAAACAATGCCAAAGAAGGATAACTTCTCACGCGCCTACATAAGTACACGCACCCATTTTTTTTATTAGTTTTTCACACAATTGGTTTTATGAATAAATCTGGAGATCCGTAACCAAATAAATAGTTATTGCAGTATAAAAATATAAATTCCTCATTATTTTCGGATACCTGCAGTGAGATCTTCAGATCTAAACTGTTTAGGTGATAGGGGGCTATTAACCCTGGATTTTGTCCTCAGCTTACGTGATTGTATATCAACCCTAAAACACTTTCTCTGGGTCTAAAATTAAAATGATTTCTCTTGTCAGCGGTGCAAATAGCTACGTGGAAAGTTTGGTCAATTTCCCTTCACGGTTTCACACCAATTTGCGGATTTACACGACAAATCGATGACACGAGCCCCGGGGCCATTTCTGCCTCTACAATGTTGACTGACGAAGGGCCGCTTTACTTGTGATTAGAATTTTAACTTTATGCCCTTAAACTAAGAGTTGAATTGTCAAAACTTTAGCGTTACGCCCTTAAAATAAGAGTAAAATTGTAGAGATGCTTATTTTAAAGTTTTCTTTAACAGTTCCCATGTATATAAATTAATTGGTTTACAATTAAATTTTGTACATATCTCAAGTCCAAATTTTAGTAAACTGAGCAATAGTACTACTAATAAAACACGCAAATGTTTTACGTAACAAATGATTTTGTTGTAGAAAGTCCATTTATGGATGGAGAGCCCTAGAAGATTGCATTGTCATATCAAGTAAAAAAATGTTCGGACTGGTAAAATATAAATGAACAAAATAAATGTTCCAAAAACCTTTTGCTTCTAAATGTTCAAAGAACCCTCTTGATGGTGAATGAATTAATAATTACGATTTTCTCATCTTTCCAGGACCGCCGCGGTAAAGCACAGCAAGCAGCAAGAGAGGGCGACAACCCTCATAATCCAAAATGTGACCACCGAAGAATCGACCAAAACACACAACACAATCTTCAAATTCATGGATCCACGAGATCACATGATTAAGACGAATATTTATTGTACTTATAACTTTAATTATTAACGAATCTAGTCGCCACAGCACTTTTTAACACGAAGCAATTTAGACTTTATGATAAGCCCTAAAGAAGAAAATTGTTGAACTAAGTACAAAGATTAAGGAATTGAGGAGTCAGTACAAACATCGTTCGGAACGCTAGAATCAGTTTGAGATCAAATTGATTACATTAGAAGTTCCTAAGAAGGAGAAAAGATGACAACCAGTAAGTATTTTTATTTAGATAATTAATTGTCTTTAATTAGACATTCTTATATGCAAAATAGTCAGCAGTGAACGAAATAAGAAAGCGATTGATTAACTTAAGAAATTGATATAGCAGCCTGATGAGTGACCAAAAATTAAATTCGTTAGTAAATCAAACCAACTTGTAACAATGCGAAAATCTGTCTCTTTTCATACAAAATAGCTCATCAATATGAGGTATTAAATGAAAAAAATGCGTTTCGAAAGCAATTTTATTACCTCATTAGAAAATTGTCGTTCATTGAAATGTTTAATGTTAATATTGCAGAAAATGATTCTGCAAAGGATATAATGGTTATGAACAGTCTTGTTGGCTTTAAAATACTTGTATCATCATTATTTGTATATTCATTTTATCGATACTTATCTTGTAGTATTGAACTCTTTCCCCTTGAGGAGCTCGGTGGCGCATTCGGTCTGCGATCGTGAAAGTTAAGCAACTTTCGCAATAGTCGGTCATTGAATGACCAAAAACTCATTATTTCGAGTTCCTCCGTGCTTTAAACCATTGGTCTCATCTGTATCTGCAGTCGTTAGCACCCACAAATCTGCATTGGGCCCGCGTGATGTGCCACAGCCCAGTCTCCCTATTCCGTCCATAGGGAAGGTCTGTGCCCCTACATTGGGGGACATTAATAGGCTGATGATGATGGTGACTGAACCCTAGTAGCTTTACCTTATGTTTTTTTTCAACACGTTCCAGGTTTTGAGCATTCTGCTATGAAGAGCAGTTTTTCGCTGTCATCACTTGGTACCGCACCACCGCCGCCTGGCGGGCGATGCGAGCAACTCGAGAGGCCCTACCACAGCCTCACCAAAAAGCGGTAATTCTTTTTTTATTAATTTAAATGATTAATTTTTATATGTGTATGTCCCCTATTCATAAGTATTTAACGTATATATTTATACACACCGACTGCCTTTTCAATGTGTTTCCCTACAACAGGCCTGCTGGAAGAAATTTCAGATTGAAATAAGCTGTGCCCTTGTACTACTATCTTATTTTGTAATTTCTGTCCATTTATATTTGTGTGTACATAATGTATAAATAAAAAATAAATAAAAATGAATTAAAGTGTTCATTGGTGATTTTTAACCATTCTATTACGATCCAGTCGTAGCGTAGCTCAGTACATATTTCATCAAGCGCGGTAGAATAACATAAGGGGAGCAACTTGAGGCTACAAAACAAATAAAAAACATTCGGCCAGGACTATGGGTCGCGCCCAAATCATCAGTTTTTAGAATAGAAGTTACTAACTTCTACGCGCGCGTTTTTTTTTCATCCTATTTTCTATCCTTTTCCTATTTTATATCCATTCGTACAGCCACCTCCACGCCATGACTGACTCTGCCACACTCACACCAGAAAAGACTTGACGATTTGGACGACAAAAGTATGCGTGATTTTATAATTTATTTATAATTCCTTCTCTTGCTGCCTTAGATGTTCGGCCATCACAATGTGCAAGTTTGCCACCTTATGTTATTCAGCCGCACTCGAGTAAATCCCAAAATCCCGGATTGCGGGCTCCCCTACTACAGTGAATTAGTTCAGTCTTCAACACAAAGCAAAAAAACCCTTGTGTGCTTTTTTATTTATTCACTAAATGAGGACTCAATCAGTATTGTCTTAAAGTTAAAAATTATATGCAGCCATAAAACGCGTTTTGGCGCGTGCTCAAGGATATGCGAGCACACATTGGCGGATTTCCGCAAGTGCGCCTGAGCATCCTCGAGGCTGCACGTGCGCAGTACACACTTGATATTAGTCGAATTTTGAACTTTAAAGGCATTAATGTTAAAGTGATTAACTGATACAACTGAATACGTTTGATATGTGTCGAGTTTTAAACTTAAAGGCGATACTGTTAAAGTGATAAATTTATACAGAGCATCTTTTAATGGGCTCTTTTCCTCTATGTGTGAATAAACCCGAGTGGCGAAGAGTAAATCCGATGTAACGATTTTCTCGCTCGATGTGTACCACCAGGTGTGTAACCTAAAACCTCTTATTATAATAGGCAAAATACTAAATAAAATATATTTACAACACTCAATTTCAAATCCTTTCCAATATACCTTTAAATTTGACATTAGAATATGTTTTTTTTTTACTAGCGCCTTACGCTGAACTTGGAATATTTGAAGCGTTAGTAAATAAGATAAGCATGCATACAGAACATATAAGTGAATTATCTAAATAATAACACTTCAAATTGCTATTCGTCGTTGTATTTGCTATTTGAACATTACTTACTTACTGCTGCGTCGCAACGATCCAAAGTGGATATTGGCCTCCGACACAAGATGACGCTATGCTCTGCTTTCCCGGCCTGGGTCCTGCCAGCAGTCGGACCCAAAGGCTGCAAGTCCTTCTGCACCTCGTCGCTCCAGCGGTATCTGGGACGTCCAACCGGTCGTCGTCCTATCTCGCTACGCTCTTTCCACGGCTCGATTCTCTCCCATTCTCTCCACTTGTCCGAGCCAGCGAAGTCTAGCCGCTTTAATTTCTCTTATGATGTTAAGATTTTCCAACCCACCAATTTTGTCGGGTTAAATAGTTAGTATTTCTACAAAAGAGTTTACTCTTCTGTGCAAGTGGCCCTTCTTGTGTCAAATTATTGCCAGTCAAGCTATCATCTAGCATCACGTAGCGCTCTAATTCTTTACCACATAAATGGTTCAAATGTTGTAGTCGGTTTTCGGCAGCGACATATAATTTGAAAGCTTGTTTTATTTAATTTTAATTCTTTTTTGAAAATTTAACAATTTCGTTAAGATGCTGGCCACCCCACCCTGCCATAAGGGGCCGTTCATAAAATATGTCTCGCTAAAATCAGCTTTTTCCGACCCCCTCCTCCCCTATTGTCACGCTGTGTCACACATTCTGTGACCCCTCTTGAAATATTCCGTCACAAAAACGGAGACCCCCCCCCCCCCCCCCCCCAAGTATGATTAATTTCAATTGATAGTACACAAATTTTAAGAATTTAAATATTTATTTAGTTTTGAAGTTATACTTCTTTAGGCGCGTTATGAAAAAATGATGACAGTGAAATTTTAAGATGCGCGCGCATCACTGTAACACAAAATTTTAACACCAACTTCATGCGTTACTTTTGTGTTTACCGCACATTAAGAAAATCTACCAACAAAATAGAAATAGAATCTCTATTTAGTGGGTGCTAACGACTGCATTGTGAAGGCCTATCAAAAGTATTTATTAATCTGGAACAACGGAACCAAAGCGCGATTCAGGAGACTACAGCGCCATCTCTTGACCATTGGTGTAGTAGAACCAAAACCACATCTTTATTTTTTGTAATAAAGTAACAGTTATAGGTATTCATATTTATAATATTTATCCACATGTTTCTAGTTTGTATATTCGGAATACGTGTTTGAGTTTCATACAAGTGCAAATCACATATGTTCTAATAAATTATATTCAGTAGCGATTTTAATTGAATATTTTGATAATTTATTTATTTTTTAAATTAAAACGGAACTTTATTGACTGTGTCCTTTTCCAGACTTTTTATTAATTTATTGTAATTAATTATTTGCATGCAATTAAAAACTAATTTTAAACGATGCCAAAGAAGGATAACTTCTCACGCGCCTACATAAGTACACGCACCCATTTTTTATAATAAAATTTAAATATATAAATAAATATCTTTTCATAACAAATAAATAAATCATATTTCTATTAATCAGAAGTCCAAGGATTCTGTAAATGCGCTGAAATATCTATAATCGGTATTGCAACATCTTCTTCTTCATTTTCAAAACTACCGTCCACTTCATCGTCTTCTATACATTCTGCATTTTCTGTACCAGCTTTTTCATCTTCTAATATGCATAACAGCTCTCGAGCTCGTCGAGCTGCGATGTGAGTTGGTTGTATACGTCGAACTACTTCATCTTTTCTTTTCCGTTTTGGATGTAAATTTTTTAAATGCTGTAGTAAGGTTTTATTAGAGGTGTGATATATGCGCGCGGGTGGTTCCTCGAAGGTTAAGTATTGGTAAAACAAAGAAATCGATTGTCACGAATTTTAACGCTGCTAGAGTCAAGTCAATAGGCTAGAGCCGCGCCACAGAGCTAGCGCTAATGTCGAAAAATAAACATGAGTAAATATATCAAGTTACAATTTATTGTATAATATAACTATATACGTTTGAATGTCTATATGTTTACTAAATACGAAATAAATGATTTTCTATCTTGATGAAAATTGAGAAAGAAAAATAGTTGAAAGAAATACTAATTTAAATTTTTTTAATGAACGACGAACGTCACGTTGCCGTAGACCCCCCGTCCCCCCTTGTCAGATCTTGTCACACTTAGCAAGACCCCTCCCCCCCCCCTTGTATGCGAACGTATTTTATGAACGGCCCCTAAGTAACGTTATATTTTAAGCCTGCGCAAGGAACTTATATTCTACTAGCTGTCTCAGCGAACTTCGTACCGCCATAAAAAAAAATAGAAGGGTGGAAATTTAGGGTTGTATGTATTTTTGTATAATGTATCATAAAAAGATAAAAACAAAAAAAATTGTCCAAAAAATAATAATTTAAGGGTGGACCGGACCACCCTTAACATATAGGGGGATGAAAAATAGATATTATCCGATTCTTAGACCTACTGAATATGCATATAAAATTTCACGAAAATCGGTCGAGCCGTTTCGGAGTAGTTTAATTACGTGACACGAGAATTTTATATATTAGATCTAAGTTCCTTGCGCCTGTAAAGTAAAATGTCAGTCAGTCCAGCCAGTCATGATCGATATTCGTGAAATCGTAATGAAATTATTATAACAATTTTTTATTGACTTTTCTTGTAATTCGATACACACAAAATACCTAATAACATAATGAGAGATGAACGGAATCATTACCACTGCTCAAGTTACCTATTGAATATAATGTATTTGATGCTTAGGCGACAAACATTACATAAATATACTTGCCTATTGCCAATCAATAATTATGTATTTGTAAATTATAATAAATATTTAAAAAAACTGGGATTAATCAATTCTAGTGTTTTGCCAAACGATTTACTAGTAAGTAAGTGCACTACTACATGTCATAAAAATTTGAGATCTGTCGGAGACTACCACCCTCTATACAAATTAGAACCATGTCCTATTTACCGCAAATTTTAGTGCATTTAGTACCAAAGCCACCCGTAGGTGTCCCTCTCAGACAGACACCTGTGCGACGCAGCACAGAAAAGCATTCTCTAAACGTATAGTCAGCTTCGTTGCATATGACATGTGTATGAAATGGTATAATTTACTCTGCGGTATAGAGCTATCATGATTAGAACAAAAAGAAAAGCTATTACGATTTGACCTACAAAATTGGAAATATTTTTTTTATTTAGGAAAGAGCCATGTCGCGAAGCTTGGAGGCGGAGTTGGGGCTCGGCGGCGAGCGGCGGCAGCGCCGGCGACGACCTGTGGCCCCTGCTCCAACACCACTACGACTACATTATGGACAACCAAATCATCGACACTTGCAAGGTGAGGACATCAGCATTACGTTATCACGTTTATCATCGGTGCTGAGGCACAAGCCTTCCGTGAAGGTAGAATAGGGAGAATGAGCCATAGCCGCGAAGCTTGCACTATGACTAGATCATGGACAACCAAATCATCAACATTTGCATGGTGAGGACAGCAGCATCACGCCAACACATTCATCATCAGTGCTGATCATCTGGGCCTTCTTTATAAGTAGAACAGGCATTCTTTATAGGTAGAACAGGCTTTCCGTATAGGGAGAATGGGCCATGCCAACTCCGCCTTCAAGCTTCGCGGGCGGACCTGTGGCCTCTGCTCCAACACCACTACGACTACATCATGGAAAACCAAATCATCGACACTTGCAAGGTGAGGATATCAGCATTACGTCAACACGTTGCCGTAATGCTGATGACCCATGCATAACGTTGAAAAATTCATTAATTACCCGGCCTATTATTGAAAAAATCGGTACGACCTCGTTTGCGTGCATGGATTATAGACGTCACTCCTAGTTATTTTTTCTTTACTGAGTATGGCGTATCACAGCAATATCTTTTTTGAGGGCAGAGCATCAATAGAGATAGTTCATATGGCTAATAGTTCAAGTATATTGAAACATAGGTCATCATCAGCTTATTAATTTTCTCACTGCTGTGGCATAGGTCTTTCCTATGGATGGAATAAGTAGACTGTACCTTAACCGACTGCTCTATCCTAGTGCGGTTTGGTGGGTGCTAACGGCTGCAAATGCAGTTGGCACTTTATGGCTTCACGTGCCGTCTGCAGCACATAAGTGCTTGAGATGATAGTTTTTTGTTCCTTTATCCTATGAATGGTCTTTGCGAAAGTTGCTTAACTGTACATAAAGCTCCCATAATTTGCAAGACAACACCGTTGTCCACCTTCCAACCAGACTACCACATAGTGTTATTTCCAAGGATAGAAAAATAAGATATGTTTCCAAGACCGGTGTTTTGATTTTAGCTGAATATCGTTCATGCTTTTACACTTTCAAGAAAGTAAATAAATGTTGTAACCACCTTGGTATTTTAATTTCAGGAAGCAAACGGCGAATTGCTGTCGAACAATTCGTCGTTGTTGCTAAATGGGCCCAGGCTTCTAAACCCCACGTCTGGCTTCAACCGGCAGTGGTCGCTTAGTCAGCTGGTAGCAGAGTTTACAGAGCTGTGCCAGTGGCTCACACACGTGCAGGAGGAGATCTATTCTAGTCCCGAAAATCTGTCCAGCAGAAAGTTGAGAATGGTAAGTGAAACTGCATTTACATGAAGCCTTCAAAGATTTCCTCATTATTGCTCTAAGTAGAACTGATCGGCAAGCTCAAGGAGCTATTCCAATGGCACACACACGTGCATCTATTCTAGTACTGAGAATCTTTCCAGCAAGACGTTAAGAATGGTGAGTAAGACTTCAAAACAAATACTAAAAGTTACAGGAAGCACGGCGAATTGTCGAAATCGCCAGTAAAAAACTACGTCTAGCTTCATCTAGCAATAGTCGCTCAGTCAGCTAGTCACAGAGTTCACTGAACTGTGCCAGTGGCTCACACGCGTATAGAATGAGAGCTGTTCTAGTCCTGAGAACTTGTCCAGCAAAAAGTTGAGAGTGGTGAGTAGAACTTCGAAAAAGATGTTTAGAATTAACAGGAAGCACAACGAATTGTTTTCCAACAATTCTTAATTATGACCCTATATATCAGGCTTCTGCTGGTCGCAAAATTCAAATCGTTAAGGGGGTAACCATGAGATGCAATGTAAATTCAAGTGCCAAGCTTACTTCATAAGTGTAATGGTAATTTCACTGAGATCTTCTGTAAGGTGCAGTTGGAGGTTACTTCCCCAGACCGGCACTCCATTTCTTTTAGGTCTATGCTTTAACTGGGCTTTAATAACCTTTCTAAGTCCAGTAAGTAATATTATTATTACTTCAGAGCAGACGTCTAAGTCTGTCGTTGCACCAAAAGTCACGAGTTGACAAAGCTCACGTAACTTCCATTTTAATTTTACCTTTTCTTGCATTATGATTCTATCTTTTTGATGCTATCATTTGATTTTATCTTTCAGAGTCGCATGTCTGAGTTAATATCGGTGGAGCCTAGACGATTGAAGTTCATGGAGCAAGCCTCTGCGATCTTGGAGAGGATACCTGAAGCTAGCGCAGAGGTAATTCATATTTATTACGAAGAACTGAGGCTACTAAAAGTCGCCATAATAAAACCAAAGGGTACATAAAAGGGTGAAGAAATAGAGGAAAGTGATTATTCTGTTTCAAAATTCGGGTATAAATAAGGGGAACCGATAATTCACAAAATTCGGGGTGACGTAGTTCACTCTATGGAACTTCTTTAAAAACAACATTCTTTGCTTATCCATAATTATTTGGTGCTAGACCCATAAAGAATCTGTCTACCAAAGCTTAGCGCAATCTGTTTAGTGTGATGTGATATGTACACACATCTCAAATCACTGCACAGATGAGACAGTCAGTAACGGTTGCATTTTATTTAACATTATCACCATTGAGTCAAACGACAATCACTGCTGAGCATAGAACATCAACGTTAGAATCAAAGATATCTACGTTGGTCGGTCCTTTTATATATGTATATAGCAAATATCTTCACCATCATACTATTTGATGTTGAACGTAAATAAATAGGCTCTGATCAGACAGAAGAGATTAGAATTGTTTTCTGCTTTCCTCGCCACCAGGATTGGAAAGAATATACCTATTGGAGAACTCCTCCCCACTTATTTCGTCCAGCTCTAGGCAAGTCTGACCCCGAAAGGACAAAAAGTTCTTACAGTGAAGTTGGAGGGACTGCGTAGCTTTCTCCGTCATATTTTATATCCTTCTTTTGTTTTATCGCCTACTGTAATTGTCATAATAAGAAACTAAAAACGATTGTAAAAGGCTGCAACGAGAACAACGAAAAATACTTATGAATGAGTTTGCTAATATCGTTACGTACGCGGGATTGAAACCTTTGTCGTATGGATTGTGGACCGCGGTTTTCTTCTTGCTATAATTGGGCACATAAATATTGCACACACAGTCATATACCAAACATCACATTTTATTTTTGCCTAAACAGTAGGACACGGCATTCCTAAACTTTTTTTATTTTTAAATCTGTTTTTTATATTTTTTATTTTATAGTCATAATCGTTTTATCATTTACATTTGTAATGAAAAGTGACTTCATGAGTTATCTCATATTGAAGTCATTTTTCAAATTGACGATTCTCTATATAATACTGAGAGAAAAAAACAGCCCTTGCTGAGTTTCTTGCCGGCTCTTCTCAGTACAAGGTCTCCCGCCGTAGATTTGCGAACCGATGGAGTAGCTTTTCGACATTCACAAGTGCTTGTAACAGCCTAGACTGAATAAACGATATTGAATTTTGAATTTTTTTTGAATTTTATTTCTGATAAATTTCACTGTCTTGGTACACCGCGCTTCCAATTATTTGTCGAAATCGAATATGGCTTCATGACGAGAGTGGAAAAGCAAAATCGCTTAAACGCCACTTTAGTAACTTTACAGAAACGAGGATCAAAGTTTTTTTAAAAAAAAGTAATATGAGAAGTATAAAAATGAAAACGTATTCATAAAATAATATTTTCTAAATATCCTTCTATTAAGGGCTTTACTTTACGAATTCGATGTCACTTTAGTGATAATTACTCGGCCCGTCATACATTTTTTGTTAAGCAAACATCAAATCATACGTGAAATAGTAGGGCGTCAGCGCCATTGGTTTAAAAAAACACCAAAATTGATGTCCTTCCAGCGTTGAAACAATAAAAGTCTTCATAACATTGAGTTGCTTAAGCGCCAAAAAAGGACTCAAATCTTCACGAAACATAAACGGAAAAAAATCTGATTAAAATGATAAATATAACTCATTTTGGACCAAAAAAGGGGTATAAGCGATTTTGTCTTTCCACATTCGATAAGGTTGGCGAGTGCGGGGGCGCGGGGCAGAATAACGTAGGTCCGCTCGTATGATCAGTGGCTGACTAAGGTTATTAACCACATTCGCAGGTGCATCGTTCTCGTTGCGAGCCTACCCACATTTATAAAATGAAATTGAGTGATGACTGATAAACAGGCACCTACACTTATAGTACTTATTTATAACAAAAGTAACGGTTTTCTCAGGTGACGTGGCGGATGGAGCATCTAAGTGTGAAATGGGAAGGATTACGTTTGCTGTTAAGTCCAGAACAACTAAATAGGGATGGCGACTGCTCTGACACAGTCGGTAAGTTGAATATAGGCTACTTTATTTTATTTAGATAGAACACCAAATTAGTATGTTATCCTTAGATTAAAACGAAAAGGGAAGATACGTCAGTCGCCGCTCAAAAGTGTACCGCTTAAATTGTGGTGCATGACCATAATTCGGAGGAGCTCGATGGCGCAAGTAGTGAGCGCGTTCGGCTGCGATCGTTGAATTCAAGCAACTTTCACAGTGGTCGGTCATTGGATGGGTGACCAAAAATCTTCTATCTCGAGTTCCTCCGTGCTTCGGAAGGCACGTTAAGCCGTTGGTCCCGGCTGCATCTGCAGTCGTTAGCACCCACCAATCCGCACTGGGCCCGCGTGGTGTGTCATGGCCCAATCTCCCTATTCCATCCATAGGGAAGGCCCGTGCCCCAGCAGTGGGGACATTAATAGGCTGATGATGATGATGATGATGATGATGACCATAATTCGTTTTAGTCACAATAGGAAATTCAAACACACGATTTTCTGAGTCATAAAGATAATACAATGCCTTCGAAGCTTTTATAAAGAACACAAATAGATCATGATCAAATAACAAATGCCACGGCAACACTTTTCATTCGTAAAACTATAAAATCATTTTTTCTCAAAAATCACGGTTTGTCCTGAATGTTATTTACTTAAATAATCGCCATTTGTTATCAAGAACAGGACAACAATACAGCTCAGCCGTGCGGACTCGGATGCGGACTCGCCGTTTCGCTCGCGCTGCGTTGAAGTGTACAGTTCTGTCTCGCTCGCTCGATTGAATGTTTATTTACAAACGTGTGCGTGTGTGAGAGTTGCTAATGTAGTTGAGTCGGAGCATATTTTATTTGATGCTAGTATGAGCGTACCGTATCTTCCCTTTTGTTTTCTAAGATGTTATCCAAACTCAATCTAGATATTCGATAGAAATGGGACAGTATTTGATTCTAATGTTTTCTTTATGTAGCGACTTTAATCGCTGGCTATGTCAAAGTGCACATACCGTACGCATTAGCATCGCTTGAATGTCACTAGCTGTTAAAGTCGGTGAGTGGAAACGACGAACTCTGATTAATCGCTACCAGTGGACACAAAAAAGATTAAGGAAATGGAGATCCAGAGTGGCCATACAAACTAGACGATGGCAATACCAATGCCAAAACTAAGAACACCGTAATACTATGTGATATAGTCGCAGTAGATGTTGTTGTACGTAAAATTGCTACTGCGCAGGCTTCCTTGTCTATGGTTTATGTACAAGATGTTTGTTGGGGATGTGTAAAACTCCGTTTACATTCAGCCCATTCGTGCGGTAAAAAGCAGGGACATGGCACACAAATTGGATAATGCGAGGGTATCAACAGTCGCTATTGACGCTAGCGCTACCGACCGACCCCCAAAAGGCGGTTTTATGTAAACTTCAAAGATCACAATGCAGGGGAGACTGTTACTGTCCTGTTCATTCTCATCTCCTCTCACCCACCTCCCTTGTCAGTAGTCGAATGCGATGCGGTTATATTAAAACACAATGAGGATCACTACTAGGTCAGCAAATCAACTCAAAATCAACAGTATCTTTTATCTAATAGACAAGTCCGTCCGTCCGTGGTGCTGTTTCAGCGGCCAAACCGTAAGAGATAGATAAAGAGAATGTTTAAGTTATAAGTTAAGAATAGTCTGATAAGACTACAAACCGGATTTCAGTAACGTAGCACTTCCGGTTTTCGAGAAATCACATCACGTGATTTCTATTTCAAACGAAACCACACAAAATCTCCGAAGTTCTCAATTAATTAAATACATTTTTTTTTGGTGAACATTTGGTTCACTGGTTTGCTAGTTATGATCTAATAAGCTTTTTAATTAATATACTTTTTAAATCATCGAAATCGGTTCATTCGTTGAGAAATTTTATGGTAGCCAATATTCACCGGTGGCCGAAACGTGTGACATCACAGAGCTCGATCGTGGTTCACCCCGGTAGAACTTTTGTAGCGTTTCTACGCACGCTCGCGCCCGAGCGCTAGAGATCTGCAACGTCACAGTCACCACGCGGCCAGCCAAAAATTCGTTTAGTAATTTGGTCTTAACTTCGTCAATATTTGCCGTAGAACAAAATTTTAACCAGTGTATTTTATGAAATCCTGATCTCTATAAATCTGTATTCTCAATTAAAATCGTTACGGATCCTCATTGCATCCTCATTGGCTTGTGACCGTGGAATAAACTTTCACATTGACCGGATCGGTGACCAAAAATTTAATATCTAGAGCTCTTCCATGCCTCGGAAAATCCGTTTAGATGTTAGTCCCGGCTGCACCTACATCGTTTGTTAACAGCCAACAATCCGCACCAGGCCCGCATTGTGGGTTTTGACCACTCTCCCTATTCCATCCACAAAGGAGTCGAAGAGAGCCAGGCAGTCCGTAGCAGATTATACACTCGAATAGGCTATTTGACAGTATGAAAAATAATGTACCAATTGATGGCATCTGTATTTAATATGAATATTAACAACGATTTTACTATTCTTTAAGAACAAATAATTTATAACTTTTCTATAAAATCATTAAATAGAAATGGTTTTTTTGCTCCACGGCGGATTCAGGCGGGCGCCTGGGACAACAGTAAAGCAGCAGTATCTCTTTTATGTGTCTAATGTTGAGTAAGGTTTCACGGCTCCACGGAGTAGGAGTTGGGGTCAGGGCAGGTAACGGCGCTAGTGATATTTTTGATAAATCGCAAACATCTAGGTAGGCTATAATTATGCGAGTTTTCTAACTTTCTAACATAAAATAAAATCTGTATTCCAATCAGAAATTATTTATTCAACATAAGCCTTTACTGACGTCATCTATACAAACAAAAATATAATTTTAAAATAGCAATAGTGATTGGACAGCATTTGGGAAGCTACGTCAAGTCTTGACATCGTCGATCCCACAGCACCTAAAGACGAAAGTCTTCAATCAGTACGTCCTACCTGTGATGACATACGGAGCCGAGACGTGGACACTGACGGTACGGGTGGTCCACAGGTACAAAGTCGCTCAGCGCGCAATGCTCGGCGTTTCTCTGAAGGATCGCATCAGAAATGAGGTAATCCTACAGAGAACCAAAGTTATCGACATAGCCCACCGGATTAGCAAGTTGAAGTGGCAGTGGGCTGGCCATATTTGCCGAAGAACCGATAAACGTTGGGGTAGACGAGTTGTGGAGTGGAGACCGTGTCTAGGCAAACGTCGTGTAGGACGTCCTCAGGCACGATGGAGTGATGATTTGCGCAAGGTGTCTGGCAGAAGCTGGATGCGAGTAGCCCAAGATCAATCTGAGTGGCGTGCATTTGGAGAGGCCCATGTCCAGCAGTGGACTAAGATGGGCTGTTGGTGATGATGAATTGTAAACAATGTATATGTATATATATAAATAAGATGGTACCTATATTAATTAACATAACAACCATTGCATTGCTAGCGCACAGTTAATCTTACTCCATGTAAAGACAATTTTACTAGAATAAAAACCACGCGGTCCAGGCAGCAGCAGCAGTAGATATAAACATCTAGCATTTACATGCTTAAAAAATATTACTTATTCCATGTACATTTGTTTGTTATATAATCCTCAACTTTGTACATGGTCTTACTAATTAGTCAATGATAGTGGGGACAGTATTAGTATGTTGATGATTATGGTGACACCTTTTTTGTTTTGTTAGAATTGCAAGCGTCTAACTGGGCAAAATGTCTGTTTGTCACTATTTTATTCACCTGCATTATCCAAATTAAAGAGAGGTAGGGCATAGCGGATTTACCGCTCGAATCGGAGCGTCGAATTCTACCTTAGAGAATACCACAGTAAAATAACTTTAATTTCTTTAAGGTTTTCTTGTATCATTTATTAGTCGTCAAGGCACTCTAATTGGCTTGTTTTAGCGTGATTATGACACATCTGCTCTTTTAAAATATCATTGCCAGAGCTCCATTAATGGGGACATGATGATGATGATGTCGTCGTTCACAGACACTGCGCACGAGCTTCGTTGCCTACGGCGGTGGCTGCACGTAATGGAAGGTCGCCTTCCGCCCCCGTCGCTAGCTGCTGCGCGCGCCGCTCCCTACCATGACCTGCGCCGGAAACTGCGCGAACACCAGGTATGTAGCTATACTCACCCGTCGAGGGGGATGTCCATGTGCCTCCAGACATCCCCCTAACCGCAAGGAGGAGGAGTAACCCCTGCCGGGGAACGTGGAGAGTTGCCGTATCCCAGGGGCGGGGTATGCGTAACGCATTTTCCCCTCATAAAAAAAGGTATGTACTACACTACATACAGCCTGATGACGTGATAAAAGGCCGCTCCCTACCACGACCTGCGCCGGAAACTCCGCGAACATCAGGTATGTAGCTATACTCACCCGTCGAGGAGGATGTCCAGGCGCTTCCGGACATCCCCCTAACCGCAAGCAGGAGGAGGAACCCCTGCCGGGGGAACGAGGAGAGTTGCCGTATCCCAGGGGCGGGGTATGCGTAACGCATTTTCCCCTCATAAAAAGGGTATGTACTTACACTACATACAACCTGATGATGTGATAAGGAGCCGCTCCCTACCACGACCTGCGAAGGAACCTGCGCGAACATTAGGTATGTAGTTATACACTCACCCGTCGTGGGGGGATGTCCAGGTGGTTCTGGACATCCCCCTAACCACAAGAGGAGGAGGAACCCTTGCCGGGGGTAACGTGGAAAGTCTCCGGATCCCAGGGGCGGGATATGCGTCACGCATTTTCCCCCCATAAAAAAGTTATGTACAACACTACATACAACCTAACGACATGATGGAGGACGCTTTCGACCATTACCTGCTTAATAATGTTAGGGAAATATGCGTGATGTATACATCACTCCTATGGGACTTCTCCTCCCATAAATCCCGCCCACTCCCGCCCAATGGTTGTTCGGGAGAGGGGACGACGACGACGACACATAATCATGGCATGAGAGTACTATTCCTTGGAAAGTAATAACATTTTACGCTATTTGATTTCTTCTCATTTTTTGTGGATATATTGGTACAACCAAAAATTCAACAATGAATTCCGTTTACTGTTCATGTTGTACAAGATTCGGATTTTCGACTCCAGTCGGCAGCACCTTCGTTGTGCCCGTTCCCATATTGGAGATGCATGTGTGTATATGATTTAGGTACACACACTACACTCTCAATTTCCGGAATGGCTTTCGTGGGATCCAAAGACCTCTCCACGTTATTATAATGAGGATCATTACTAGGTCAGCCAATCTAATAATAACAACAGTATAATGATCTTATAAGCTTTTTAAATAATTATTTTTAAAATCTTTGAAATCGCTTCATTCGTTGCGATTTTATAACTAATTTTATGGTAGCCAATATTCACCGGCGGCTGAAACGTGTGACGTCACAGAGCTCGATCGTGGGTCACTCCGGTCGAACTTCAGTAGCGTCTCTACGCACTCAGCGAGCGAGCCCCGAGCGCTAGTTCTGTGATGTCAAAGCCACCACGCGGCTAGCCCAAATAATCCTTTAGTAAGTTGGTCATAACTTTGTCAATATTTGTCGTAGAACAAAAATTTAACCACTGTATATTATGGAAAGATTATCTCTATAAATCTGCATTCTCAACTAAAATCGTTACGGATTCTCATTATGTATTTAATTAACATCAAATAATGTACTCATATTTGAACAAACAAATCAATTGATTGATGATTATGGTGCACGCAGAGGTTCCTTATTCTTTCTTGCGGTTGGAGGAGCGGCGCGCGAACCGTTTTATTGGCGATGTGGAATATGATGATTAAACACCCTTTACTATTACCAAAACACAGCGAGTGTTCTGAGGATTAATTTTTCCTGATGCCTTTTCCTTCAGACTACTACGTTGTCACGAACTTCTGTGGCCCATTCAAATCCAAATCTATTCCAAAGCGAACAAAAATATTTAGTGAATGGTAGCTATTGTTGTCCTTGCCTATTAACATGAACAATTACTACCGTAACGCCACCACGTTGGTTTAATATTTATTGATGGAAAATGCTACGCTTTATTTCAGATCAGATATAAGAATAATGCTCATTAACATTTTAGAACGTGTTTTTACAATTCACTTACGATACATTAAGTATTGATCAATTCATTGGTTGTAGCGACATCTCTGTGAATTATGTAGAAGTTGGAATGTTTACCAAAAAATGCATAGTTGTATCGATAGATGGCGGCACATATGATTGCAGGGAAAGCGTTATGGTTACCAAATAGTATGCAGTTTCGTCCACAGATGCTGTTAATTGTTGCTCTATTTAATTGAACGATTTAGTATGTCTTTTTTGCAATTTCTTAATTATTTGTCAGGATTCTTTCATTACGATGTATTTCTATTCTATTTATACTATTACCTACACTGAATTTTAAAATAACTAATCTATCTATCTAACCTACTCGTAATTGAAAAACACTATTAATTTAATTTAAGGTAGTTTTCTTTAGTTATAGATTTTTGCTTCAAATAATTGTTTTTATTGTAAAATCTTTATTGTCCAATATATAAAAATGGTTAGGCTAATAGCATTCTCTACCAGTCAACGTAAGTAAGAAAACGATGAACAAGAAAGGGAGTTTTATCTCTAGATACATGAAAATCGAGCCTTTATTCCAACTAACTCAATTTGGAAGTTCGATGGTGAAACTATTGAATCTACCGAGCAAAACGGACGATGGAGCCATGAATTGTGTTGTTCTATTTAAACTGAAACACGCGAAAACTATTATATTAAAACATGTGAAACTTTTACTTACACATTAATAGTACCTATCAAGATAAAACAGATCTCACTCCCTTGCTTAATGTTTTGCCAATTATCAAAATATGCTAATTGCTAGTTATCCTACCTAATAATTAGATAGTCACTGCTTGATATGTAATCACACTTTTGATAGTGTTATGCAAAGCTTTTAATTTTTTTTATCTGAAAGATTGAAGCGGATTACGTTTGCACTGACATGAATGATGCCAATCTCTCATTCAACGTTACGTCCAGCTTCAGTACATCTTCATTATGGCGAAAAGCTTGACGACTTTGATGAGTGGGCGTAGTCAACAATTAAAGTTTCGGTGGGCCATTCCCTCTACGAAGAAAATTAAGTTGCTATTGGGTTGATTGGAATTTTTGCATTTCCAAATTTGTTTTCCAAGCCGGTAAACCCATTTGTAAGAAGATAGGTAAGCAGGTTTAATTGGAAAAATGTTATTTTAATCTACGGATGGGTTGCAATTCGACCTTTTTGTTCTTCTGTCAAAGTTTGTGCAGTGTGTATATTAAACGCATGGTAGTACATGTATTGCCTATTTAATTCACTTAATTTATTTCTAATGCTTTTTTTAAATAAAAATATTAGCTTTCTGCTTTGATTCTCCATATATGCTTTCATTATTCAAAATCCCTTACTACAGCACAATAAAAATGGGGTAGATACGAAAGATTTTCTTTCATTTATTATTATAATAACGACTTTAATTTTTCCCCCGAACCTAGTTACTCCATGCTATACAGAATCATAGCAACCTCAGTTAGGAATTTCAACTAAAATAATATACAAAATAGTAGTAATAAATGTATCGTTGTTGTGGCCTTCACGAAAGGCAGAATATTTTTCTCTGAAATCTCCCATAATAATCAATAATATATCATTACTAGCTGAGCCAGCGAACTTCGTATCGCCATAAAAATATGGGTGGTAGAAGGGTGAAAATTTAGGGTTGTATACATGTATTTAAGTATAATCATAAAAAATAAAAATAAAAAAAATTGTCCAAAAAAAATTTAAGTGTAGACCACCCTTAACATTTAGGGTGATGAAAAATAGATGTTGTCCGATTCTCAGACCTACTGATATGCATATAAAATTTCATGAAAATCGGTCGAGCCGTTTCGGAGGAGTTCAATTACGCACACCGTGACACGAGAATTTTATATATTAGATATTCCTAGGCACTTGGTATTTCACTAAAAAAGAATAACCTCATTTGTTAAAATAATCAAAGCTGCAATGCAAACATTTCGGACTGAATCAAAACATTTGCGAGCACCGAGAGTAGGTCCCGCAACCAACAATCGTTGCATAGTAGGCCCCGGGCTAAACCCATTAGGGTATTATCCATTAGGAGGGTCTGACCACACCGATATGTTTCAACGTCAGGCGACGTCGAAGCGGCGCCTCGGCTAATTGGCCGTTGTGATAAAGAAAGAAAAGTGAAAGCAACCTTTCATTCACAGTTGTCATTTACTGTGAACAATTCTTTAATCCTATTGACCGGAACTTTTTCCACCTACTTCCTACATCCACATTTTGTCTTATCTACTCTTATTATGCCGACTCAACTCACCTAGTTTGGTCATAAATCCTGAACAACATAATGTTTTTAATGAAATAAGTAAACAACAACTCACAGTAAAAAAAAGTGTTTCATGTTTTGTAGAAATTCAAAACTCGGGTAAATTATACGTACTATATGTTAAATAAGATTATGTAATTATTCGGGTAGACGACAGTCCCCTTATTTTATTTTTTTGAGTTAGAGTGAACGTTGGTCGCCTAAAAAAGGAAAGGGAAGGATCAAATTTTATATTTCAGATGTTTGAGATTTGGACTATAGGATGGCCAAATCTAAGGGTACTATTGGGTTTTGCATCCTATGTAAAAGGCCGTCTTATACCAAAGACATAGATTGAAGTAGACGCCGCATAAACTTTAAATTGTATGAAAACCGAGCGTGTCAGATTTTGAGTATGGGCCCCGGTCACCTATTCCAATTATATCGTTTTTGACATAGTAAGACGTTTTTAAGCATTATTTACATCCGGTATCGTGAAGAAGTAAATTAACGTAAAATAGAGACCATTAGTCACCCTTTTGGTACGTGAAGTACACACTTGCGTTATCCTATTTCGATCTGTCTGTTGGCCGTACCGTACTCTCAGGTCTCTACAATCTAATCTTTTTTCATTGCGAAGTTTCATCAGAAATGGTAGTCTTTTTTACTTTCGGACCGGATTCCTTGATCACTTTCTCATTATCTCTATCCTTGATTTTTTTCTAAATAAATCGATTCATAG